GTGTCCGCCAAACTAGGTCCATCGAGATGAGCTTTTTAATATAACTCTTCCACTTATTAACCCATACAGCATCCACCATATACCAATACTCCCCATCGTTAATATCTTCGTATCATACTTACCCACCAAGGCTTGCTCTGTGGCCCGTCTCCTCAAATATGCCTTTACATAGTAACTACACTTCTCACAAGGATCCAAACTGCTCAACAGCGGTCCTCCACCATACAAGGTCTTCAACTTCCTCCCGAACTCCAAGGGGATCGGGACATACCTCTGCTCAGCATCCTCCTTCTCCACGTCAGACACACACTTATCCGGACATATCATAGTAAACGTATTAATAGGTCCAGGATGGCTCATATACTGCAGCCGTATCGTCCATTGCCTCGGCACATACACCCTCGGAAAATCGCCAGGCAGTTGACCCTCTTGCACCGCCTTACGTAGCTCAGCAACCACATTGGCCCTCGCTGGACTCGCTACCTTCTGGTAGAAGAGAACATATGCTTCAAAACCCGCAACTTGCGCAGAGTCCACCTTAGTTACTCTAGCATCATCATACTCCAACCACTCGTCCGTCTCTTCATGACGACAATAAGCAACGTAATGGCCAGACCCCACAGAACCAATATGACGTATTAGTCCCGTCAAACGATATGCAGTAGTCTGATTGCCAACACCTCCCACTACCTCGCTCCTGTTCGCCACTGCAGAGGCCGAATCCATGTGCATGAACTGCGCTATGTTCAGTTCTTCCTCTACCGGGAAGCTCACCGCACGAGAATTCTTCTGCCCAAACCAGCCCTCGTCATAACGAAATCGATTTAGGTGAACAACCAGAGTCTCAGGAGTCGAGTAGAATCTTATGAATTTACGTCCATCACATTTTTTCTCACAGCAATCACAATGATACTGCTCACTTCCAGTAAGCTCCTCATTCTGGCAGAACGTAGCCAAGCAGTCGTATAAGGAGACCTTCGCATCTCCTAGGTACGCCCTCGCCGAATTCATCCATCCCCAGAAACCACTACATACCTTCATAGACGGACTGGCCGCAAACGACCCACCAGAAATCTTCGAGAAGTCTACCGGCGCACTAGGAATAGGTAGAGACACATCATAAACCGGTTCAATAGTAGTACTACTGTTCTTGCAGTGCATACACCGTACCGTGCTAATAAGCTTACCCAGGAAGGCGTCACTCACAGGGCTAGACCAAGACGTCTCCTCAGCCAACTTCTCCACTGATGGCGGTGACTGACTCTGACTGCTAGAACTCGACTGCTCACTGAATGACTCCCTATACTCCGATCCCGCAGCTTCCGAAGCAACACTTGAATAGGCCGTCGGCGAAGGTAACTCCTCAGGCATATGTACAGCTAGGTATGCCTCAGGGTACCTCGGCACTCGCCTCCTGAGCTCCTCATGCATAGCGTCCAACACACAATGGAGGAACTCCTGTGAGTCCTGCTGGTGATAGCCCTGGAACATCGGATTCAGTTCCTGCACGGCCTTGAGCATAGCCTCTGGATTGTACGCATCAGACGTCGTGATCACTTTCTGAGGTAAATCTTCACTTCCCCACTGCTCTTCCATTATCGTCCGACATGCCTCTACCAGCCGTCTAGCTGGTGGAAGTGTTCCTCCATGAGCCCTCGGGGGTGGCATATTCCTCAGAGCTTTCTGCAAAGGTGCGGTATGAACTAGACACTGCAATGCCGCGTTCATAAAGCATGTGTTACCCAAGTTGAAGAAACCCCTAGTAGCCCTCGTCGCTGAGCTGTCCTTATGCCCACGTAGCCCAACAGCATCTCCACTCATAGTCGCCCCCTCAGGCACCGCTGATAGAGGAGGACGGAGAGCAGAGCCTTCATCCACTGCTACGTGACCGCCGCTCCCACCGTTCAAAGTCCGCCCCTGCTGCGTATGATGGACCTTTGAAGAAGCCTCATCTGTGACCATACCAGTTGCCGTCACGTTTCTGTCGGACTCAGAGGTCCGTGATGATAATGACATTACAAAAACAGCCACTGAGGTTTTCCTTTCATGATCCCACACTCAGGTAAAATGCCATACTACGACGCCCAGCACAACGACTAAGCGACAGAACGAAACAGCCCAGAGGAATCACCTGCGACGTACAATGCCGCCACCATCGAACGTAGGCACACGCTAGAGTGGCACTTCACACACAGGTACGAGGGATCGGTCGAAATTCGAGCAAGCCGAAGAAACGTGTCACGCGCCACGAAATTACGCGCTCGCCCCAGCACGTTCTGTGTCTCGGTAATTGACAACTAAGCTGTACTTGGGCGTTTGGGTGAAACGGGACATAACAGAAACAATGACATAGGCCTTAAGCCTCATGGTAGAAGCGAGGCTTCTTCAGTACTCCGAACAAAGGAGGGCGCTCCGAACGTTCGAAGCCTTCCAGGACATCTCCTTCCTCGAGATCATCAAAGTCCTCAAACAGGATGCCTGATCAAAGACAATGAGCATCCAATTCACAGGGTCCACCATAAACCACTAGTCACCTGCTTCCTGCCCCTTGGGGACTTGCTTTACAGTCATCCTGTCCACGGTTATACTGCGGAGTTTCAACTGACACACGACCGTGCACTCGAATCTGCTAACGAGTCGACACCTACCCCTTCTCGAACGACTTCAACTTGGGACGAATCACCGCCCACTTTCCTGAGTAAATTGTAGCTGACCTTATCCCCAGATGTCGCCACGCCGTCTCTAAGCGTCGCTCGGCCGATCGTCCTAGTGCCTTCGCCCTTGATAAAGAACCTAACGATCACGACATACCACCGTTTCACGAGCACACTCTCCTACGGTGCAGGCTTCCCAAGACTCAGCCGACACACTCGCGTGTAGATCTCCCGAGGACCATAGTGATAGTCGTAGATGTCCTCAACGTCCTGGAATAACCTAAAACCACCACAATGAGGAACCTCAGTCGACCACAACTATGGTCACCTATATATGATCTCGCTATGACGCAGGACCAGGTCAGCGGAGCGCATACGGTCTATAATGGCCTGCTTCGGCGGCTCTTGGAAGCTCAGAATCTGAGCCATTCCACGTATGCAGCAACCGACACCCTACCACGAGGCCTCACGAATGAACCTGTCTGTCTAGCAAAGTCAACATCATGGTCCGTAGGCTGGCCCACAGAAGCAGCCGCAATGTGGAATGACTGTGCATGAGAGTATCTACCACAGACCAACAACGCCTGCCCGAGTCTCCACCAGAACGTCCCTCACTCCTCAAGCCAGGCGTGGAGGACCTTGAGCTGCCCCTCGGAAGCCGCCTTGAGTATAACGCCAACCTGCCTATCCGTGCCCTCCACCATCCTCTGGATTTGGTCTTCATCTCTACCACAGAATATGAATGCTTATACTCCATCGTTGAGGCATGACTCACTCCTGTTCCTTCAGGTCCATATACACCTCCTTTTCTCGCCACTCGTCGATCCTTCGCTGCATAGTCGGGTCGTTACGCGACAGTACTTTCTTAATGTGTCTAATATACCACGCTTCGCTCCGCCGTACACGCCGTTGCCACCCCTACTTTCCAGCGGCACGCTCTCCCTTGTCCTGTGGAGTTGTCTGGAGCTCCTCCTGCATCCTAGCAAGCCTAGCAGACTTCGCGATCTCCTCAGCCACTCGTTGGTTCGGATGCGCTTGCCTAAACAACCGCCTAATCCAGACGCTCAAGACTGCCTCGACAGCCTCACAGCAAGTCCCCTGCCGAACCAACAACTCCTCCATGCTTCGCACTGGTGACTGTCCACACCACAGAGACATCCACCGCGTCAGAAGGTACCGCCTCATCGAGATCTCCTAGAACAACAGAGATACAGCCCGAGCACTCAGGACCCCTTACCCTCTGTGGGATAAGTCTCCCGGCCTGCATGCCATATGGTCCGAACTCGTCCAGCATTCTCCCCGACCGTCACCCACTCCCCCACCTTCAGCGTACCATCACGTATCTGACGACAACGGCAATCAAAAAGCGATAATAGGAACTCATAATGAGTCTTACAACAAGATTCAGGATCCTCCCTTGTCGATGATGAAGACGAGATTCCAATATAAATGCTTTCGCCGGCATAGTCTAAAAATCGATCAAACTAGAGAGTATCCATCAATGGTCTCGTGGCACCTTGTCAAACTCGAGTACAGTCTCGTCCTTCTCGTCGATAACAGAGGCTTCCAACAGCATGGCTTCCTCCAACTCCACCAGCCCCTCCTCCTTGGGTGCACATATAGGTACGACCTAATCCCAAAATAACAGAGGCCCGCCGCACTAGAGCGATCAGCGCAGCCTACCTGTACCGTTCCTCCCAGACTTTCACTCACGAGACCGAGCTGTTCCTTCAGCTCCTTCTCCAGAGTTTCAACTCGATTTTCCTCAGCCTAAGGTGCCCAGCGATCGCCTGGAGCTCAGTCGTTCATGCGTGCGTCACTTTATCAATCTTCGATATCGCCACTATGATCGGACACCTTGCCGCTCTAGCGTGATTCACAGCCTCCACAGTCTGCTGTCTTATCCCGTCGTCAGCCGCCACCACCAAAATCTACCAAAAAGTCATCAGACAAAAACGACGACACGCAGAGTAGCCTGTCTACGACTAATCCCTATCATTCCCACAAGTGTCTGAAGGGAGTCATTTTTGGAATTAAATGCCCGACGACTTTATTCGCATCATTCGACAGAGCGAGTCGTGATGAATATCAGATATGCAGATATCTACGTTCTAGCCCACAGGCCGATTGACGGTTTATTCCCAAGTTGGACTTTCATCAGTCACATAGAGATGAAGCCCACTCGAGCATCGGTCACCGACAACTCATACATAGTCAGGACGAGTGCTACACTACAGTAAAGAGTACCAACCCGACTACCATAAGCACACCTTACCACAATATCGGTAACATTAGCGCCTCTTTCCCTCATAGAGGAGAAGGCAGCATGCCCAGGTGTATCGATGAAGGTAACCCTCTCCCCAGTCGCTGGACCGATCATAGTAAAAGCTCCAACCTAACCGGCCGAAGACAGCAGTCCCCAGGAGTCCACACCCATCGTGCTGTACCCTCTGCGTGATCCCACCAGCTTCCCCAGCCGCGACATTACTCTTACGCAGTGCGTCCAGCAGCGTCGTCTTACCATGGTCCTGAGCAGTAATGAATAACATCTACACAAGCACAACTAGTGTGATACTTACAACGTGTCCCATGACTGTGATAACAGGGGGTCGAACACGACCCTCAGCCCGGCGCAAATGCTGTCTGAGGCTGCGACGGGTGAGCTCTTGGCCTGCAAGAAGAGAAGCCCTGCTGCTCACCTTCGCACTACAGGACGACTCACAAGCCCCCGAGTCGACTGTGTAACTCACTTATAGCCTCAGCCATGTCCTCAGGGTAACGAGCGCGTGGTAGCAGTAGGTAGTCGTCTCTGAGTAGATCAGCAACGTCCTCTACCTAAGATCAAGCCGAGCAATCACTATGAGCCCTTCAACCGACTCTCAGGCCCACCTCCTCAACGGGTACCCGCAATAGCTCAGCCAGCTCAGCCTTGGAATACCCCTGTACATCCAGATCCCCCCTAACACCGCTAGACCGTGACCGTTTGTCGTGGAACACCGACATATCCAATACGAAGCGTTTACGAAGCGTCTCTGCCCGAGGCTGGTACCTATCACATGATCTACCCCCAAGCCATCCTGCAGCCCCAGCCCACGGTATGGCAGCCTCAGCCTCAGCTAGCTTCTCCTCCATCTCGGCAGTCCGAGCCGCCGCCTCAACCGCCTCAGCAGCGGCCTGCTCCTCATGGACCACTCTACGACTCTCCAACGCTTTCTTCACTTGTTCTTGCAACTGACCATCCAGCAACAACTCCAACACATAGGAACCTCTATCGCCTAGCACGACCTCCTCACCTTCTGCTCCATAGCACGGACCTTAGACTCCTTGTGCTCCATAATTTCAACATGACTTTGATACCTACTTCAAAAACAACTAGACCATCCAAAACTACAACTGCACAAAGCCGACAACACCCTAGAGGCTCGGGAGCCAGAAAGCACCCAAAACTATCAAAGAGCCATTCAAGCGAAGCGAAGGCACTCATCCCTCATGGGCAGATCAATTTCCAGAGTCTTACTTCCCAGCAACCCCCCATTCCTCCAAGCTCTCCGCAATAGCCCCATACGTTGTGCGACTAAGAATCAGGCAAGCTCGACTGCGGTGTGCTGAGCTCGAGCACATTACTCGAATATGAACCGGCTTATGGCGTCCTCATCCCTCAAGTGATTATCCAGTGCGTTGAGGTCCAAGGAGGTGTTCGCCAGACGACTCTTGTAAACGCGCTCAACAGCAGCTGCCAAAATCCCAGTGCACAACCTCGTCCCTCTAGGTCTCCTCACATGACTGCATAGACGCTAAGGAGCGTAGGTCGTAGTGTCGTGACGGTGACCGCCGTGCTTCTCCCTCAGGAGGGTTGATCGCTATTGCATGCTGCTCCATCGCCTTCGCCGCTAGAACCCAGCTGAGCTCAGCTGAAGAGGGCCGCACATTCCAACACATACCACACCCGACGCAACCTACTGCGCTTCTCCGGGTCTTGCCGACACAGTCGCAGTAGTCGGTTGAAGCACTAAGGCAAAGCCGCACTCCCCATGCCAGAATCAGCAACACCTATGAGCACCTCCTCCGCATCTACTGTGGACGTCCCTTCGAGCTCCTTATTAGCCTCCATATTGTCCCGTCGGCTGAAGTAAGTCAAGTCTTCCCCATAATGACCACGTCCTGGCATGGAGCCTCTACACCTACTGCCCCCCTCTACCACTAGGATTCACCTGTGTCCGGGTCGAGCATACAATTCCTAGTATACTGTGCCTGCCTGATGATCCTCACCATCATCCGCCCATACTTCACATATCTACACACAACCTCCGTCCCACTTCACCCTGGCCCTTCCTAAGCCTTACGCTTCCTCAGCGTCCTTCAATACAGTGTGGACCTGCGTCAGGTACTTGAAACAACCCGACAGGTTGTTCTGACGGAAGAGGGTGTTGATAGTCGTCACCTCGTGATCAAGGAGCACCTAAGGAGTCCATTCAGAGAGTGTACTCCCCTCGCAGCACACGACCCATCACTCACCCCAGTAGGATCCATAAGCTCTCTAT